TATATTTCGCTATATATTACCGATATATTTACTATCGGCATCTACGTAACTGTCAGAATTCACCTGTTCGGTTTAATGGAAAATTTGACTTTTATTTAACACAAATGTTGTGGCCTATTTCACCCACTAAATATTACTCGATGACCATCAAAATTGGAAGGCTTCTGCCCACCCCTAAGCTCCAACCACATGCTAACTTCCGCTTTAATTGGTCTGTTATTGCGACCTGTAGAGCAACTGCAAAATCAGGATTTTTTCAGTTTTTGGTCCATCTCAACCCCTAAATATTATGTGATCATCTCCAAAAGAAATAGGGTTCTATTCTGACACCAGCCCCACCTCCATTCTAAATTTCGAGAAGATCGGGCCATAATTGCGACCTGTAGACCTGATTACAAATTAACATGGACAGACGGACGGACGGACATACATAGCTAGATCGACTCAGCTCGGTGAGATAGGAATATCCATATATACTTTCCTATGTGGGAAACGAATATTTCGAGGTGTTACATAATTTTTGGCCCAATCAAACTTATAATACCCCCAACACATAGTGTTGTAGGGTATAATGAACTATATTGGCCCACACCTTCGGTGTCGGTTGGTTTGCAATTGCGATCCGTAAAGCGACTGCAAAATCAAGAAAATCTTAAATTTTTTGCTCCATTCACATATACATCTTCAAAGGCATTTATTCTTACCTTACAAGATGTACAAATTAAAATTGTAAGTCAAATACGAAAAGATCGCATGCGACAAAATTTGGATAAAAAATTATTGGCATATTATTGACCGATTTTCTTAGATTTTATCCTTTTCTGGCTAGAGACCATTCCGTATTGGTGAGCATTGTCAAAATCAATCCAACGGTTAACTAGCATCAATTTCTTGTACACATAGATTGTACCTATTTTGTGAGTATTTGTGATTTCGCCGGTATTGTAAATATTCACGGTTTAGTGGAAATTTTCGTATTTTTTACATAAAATGTATGGTCTATTTTACCCGCTAAGTGTTGTCCGATGACCAATGAAAATGCTAGGCTTCTGTGCAACCTTAAACTCTAGTCCTGCAAAATCAGAATTTTTCTTTTTGATTCATTCCAACCCCTTAATATTTTGCGAAAAACAATATTGTTCTATTCTAACCCCAACCCCACCACCATTCTGAATTTCGGATCGGGCCATAATAGCGACCTGTAGCTTCATTACAATTTAACATGGACAGACGGACATACATAGCTAGATCGACTCAGCTCGGCGAGGTAGGAAAATCCATATATAGTTTCCTATGTCGGGGACCAATATTTCGAGGTGTTACATAATTTTTGGCCCAATCAAATCTTATAATGCCCCCAACACATAAAATTGTAGGGTATAAAAATGAATAGTTTCTGTCAAAGTTGAAATTGTTTACTTTGAAAATTTGTTCGTTCTTGTGGTGAAAAATACCGAAGTCGTACGACAGATATTAGTTAGGCTTTTCATTAACAAATAACTTCAAAAACCCATAACTACTTACGTACGAAGGAGAGAATGTCCCCATCATTCCAACTGATCAGGATTGATTGCTCTTTCCAAACGAAATTTTCCACCAAAAAGTAATTGTTGTTTTTATAATGACAACTATATTGAATTAACAAAATATATCGGTTTTAAATCATTCACTGAGAAAATGTTTTGATATTGGATGCTATTCCATGAAACATCTAAAAGTGCTATAATGCCATGGCTTGATAAAATTCCTGCTAAACTCAAATACTCTATTGATATACACGTACACTTATGTATGTTAACTTGTAGGAATATCCACACATAGAAGCATGTATATGTACGTAAATAACTGCACAATGAAAACAAATCGCGTGTAAATGCCCCAAAATACTGTTCTATCAACATCACACGAAATTCCAAATATTTGCCACCACAATTGATGATCGAGTCAGCCAGCGGACGCCAAAGCCTCTTTGCAATATAAACTATTTGAAAGCTACCAGAAAATAACTGGAATTCTGTGGGACAATATTTAGTGTTTTGGTTTCATTACACCCACCAAATAACTTGCATTTCGTTAGATTCCCTTTGCACAGTGTTTCAAATCAACGCAAAATAAAAAAAAAAAATAAAATTTGTATTTTTATACATAACTAAGCTTGACACTGGTTGGTATTCCACAGAAGCCAGATATTACTGCATTGTTTAAAATATTTTATATATAACATAAATCTGATGTCGACAACCAAATTCTTTAAATAAAACCCCGCAATGGAACACTGTGTCTCCCAACGAAACTCTCGAATTTTGTGCAAAATCCTTGCTACATTTTTTATCATTTGAAATCAATGGCATTTATGCAGTTAGTGGGACTACAACGACTGCTAAATATTACAGGGATGGGTATTTTATGACTCGGCTTTGGTATTGTGCAGTTGGTGGCCAGGGCAGAAAACAAAAAAAGAGCAAAAACAGTAAATCTGCACTACTTCCGAGCAACAGCTTGCACAAGACTGGTCATAAAGAGAAATGAATGCCTGACTGGCTGGGTGGTCTGGATTGCTGGCTTTACAGGATTGCAGGATTTACGACAATTGCACTTGTGAAGCATAAATATTGTGACAAATTTGCACAAAAACGCCATAAACATATATGTATGTGTGTATCTATGTCCATCTATGTACAGATATAGAGTACTATACATTGCATACATTCAAGCAAAAAGTTGCACATTTTGGAAATTGTTGGTAGGAAAACATCATATAAATATGAATGTGGAAACCATTTACACAGATAAATATTTTGGGTACCCAGAGTTGGCGGAGTTATCCAATATCTCTACATGCATGTATTTAATGTGATTTTTATTGGAAGGTATTTGACATATTTCTCTATTATAAATACTGTTTTATTAATTACTAGGCGGTCTCATTAATATGAAAAAGGTGAACAATGTCGGCATTTTAGTACATTTTGAATCAATAATATTTTTCATTTTTCAAAGTTCAAAGTGGGTGCAACGTAATATTTTTACTAAGTATACGTTAGGTGGAAAAATGGAAAATATTGGCCCACACCTTCTGGTAAAACCGTCGCAATTTGCCAAAAAAAGTTTCGTAAAAGTTGAAAAACTTGTCCGATTAGATTTAAAATTTGAACAGCGCAAGATTTATATCGGATCAACATAACCGTTAAATAAGAAATTATTGATGATCATTACAATAAATTTACTAACACATGATCCAGGTTGACGATGGAATAAATCGGCAAAAAAAATCGTATACAGGTGCACGTATAGCCCTCATATGAACGTACCTCCCGAAACTCCATATTTTCATGATTTTTGGGACATTATTCACCGCAATTGTAACAAATTTCGAATATGAAGTTCGTAATGAGCACTTCAGCCTACGACAGAACATTTCAAATAAATTGCAAAATGTCGAGGAAATATTTGAAGAATATGAACCTGCAAGATGCGCCAGCAATGTTGATGTGTTAAAACATGTGTTCGTTCCCCATCATACCCATACAATTTTGGAGTATTTCCGTATCAAACGGATAATTTCTGTTCAAAACGATAGGGTTTTTCCTATCGTTTTTTCTCACGTTCTTCCGCGTATTTGTTTATTACAAAAAGCCAAAAATGCAATGGGAAGTAAAAGCTTTCGGAACAACTCTAGTTTAGTATAAACTTTTCGATTTTTTCAAAACTTTTTCCAGAGGTAGGTATTTTTATCTGAATCCGTGAAACTATTATTTTCTTGGGGGACGGACCCGGGACCCCCGATTTTTTGACCCGAAAGTCCGGGTTCAAGACAACCCGATAGAGACAATCTATTGAACAAGAGGTCACACGTTAGTATTTTTGTGAGGTTATTATTTAGCGGTTCGGAAGTTATAGTCAAATGATCAATTTTTTGGACCCAGATTTTTCATAAAACCCCCAATATAATAATATATAAAAATACCTTTTTCTGGTCCAGCAATATCAATTGTTTAACTAAATCTTGTTTTTCTATACCCCCCCCCCCCCCCTTCATATGGAGGATATATTATGTTCGTCATTCCATTTGTAACAACTCGAAATATACATTTTAGACCACACAAAGTATATATTAGGTATTTCATTTTGTGTTTGAATTTCCTAATAAATATTACAGTGTATGACAGAAAATTGTCTATGCAGGACCATTTCTTGGTATAGCCCCTAAATATCGGCACCTCCTACATATTCGGTATTTTGATGATTTTAGCTACATTATTCACCGAAATTGTGAAAACTTCGTACTTGCACTTCATAATGGATACAACTGGAGAAAATTGCAGGTCCACGTCTTCGTATAGACCCCAAAATAATGGTAACTCCCTATATACGGTATTTTTAAGATTTTTCCACCAATAATCTGTATATTGATAATCATAGCCACATAAACCCACGAAACTTTTTCAAATTTGGTATTTAAGAAGACTTGGTAGATGACAACCCTTTAAAGTATAAAATTGTCTATAAAAGTTATCGTTTTGGTATGGCCCCCATATAACGGGACCACACACTTTATGTTTTTTTTTTTGAAAAGTTTCACAGCATTATCCAAACGGACTTTGTGGTCTTTGTAGTCTAAAGTGGAACACGTTTGAATTCAGATACTTTTATATAAAAATGTTTTTTTGTCCAAGAATACCCTCTTGGAAAGATTGGTCCTAAAATATAAGGATGATATATGATACTGATATATGAGGCCTATAAGAAGGCCTGGACCTGCAGAGACAAATTTCTGTCATAGACTATATTTCCCATTACGAACTCCAAATACGAAATTTGAAACAATGGAATGGAATGGAGAGATGCTCTAATAAATGTTTTATTATCCCGGTGGAAGAGAGGATGAGGGATAAAAGTCTTTCCCTCATCCTCTCTTCCCTTGCTAAAAAATATGTTCTCCCGGGAACAATAATAGTCACACATTGTTGGAAGGTATGTTTTTTATAATATATTAAAATACATGTAATAATATTTGTGTATATATATTATACGCTCATGGAAAATGTTTTTTTTACGGATATATACAGTATTATATATTATTACAGTGGTGCCGCATGTGGCAAAGATATGTTTTCTGAATTTTTAAAATATGCCGGTATGATATACAACCCTACCAATCCAAAAGCGGAGAAAGGGCAAGAATCTGTAAAGATGAAATGGAAATTGAAATGTGATTTTTTATTATTAATCAAATATTTTAAAATCCAATTATTGTTACATCGTATTTAAATAAAATGTGGAATTTAATTAATTTTTTTTTTTCAAATTGCACATATTCATGGATTTGAGATATGAAAATACCAACATTTGAAGCCTTCACTGCCGGAATAAAGCCGTCGGAAAAGCGGCTTGAGATTTTCTCCTCTGGGTATGTCCTACACCGGCTAAAGCGAACAATAGTTTTCTAAATTTGATACTTCTGTAAGTCCAACATCGGCTACGGAAAGAAAGCTTTTTTATTGAAAATATAATTAATAAACTGGTTAGATACGGGTTATGCGGGTGGAAAGCCCATATCTTTGGATCCAAAAATGTTATTAGAACAAATTGTAGCATTTTAGAAAGGTAAGAGTGTCAAGCATAATTTGGCATCAATTTTGTTGACCACCATAATGGATTCTTTTCCCACTTTTTGGGAGTTTAAAAAAAAATCCGTGTCCCCCAAAAAAAAAAACAACCTCCGAACTGCATTACCATCCCCCATGTAACCACTTGCTGCATAAGTATTTTTATAAGCTTTAAACGATGTATTGTCTATATCGGGTAAATGGATTCGGGTCCGTCGCCCAAGAAAAAAATAGTTTCCCGGAATCAGGGTAAAAATACCTACCACTGGAAAACATTTCAAGCTTTCGTGTGTACGTCACTGACATAAAAAGCATTTGCTTCAAAAACCCAATTTTTTTCAGTTGACAAATTTGCGAAGTATTGGCAAAAATATAGTTACAACAAGTAAAAAAGCAGTAAGTTCGGCCGGGTCAAAGTTCCCTCCATCATTTGGAACGAATTAGAAAATTTTCAAAAAATAAAATCCATTAAAAATTCGGTTAAAATCTTAAAAATATCGGAAGGAGCCGATATATTGGAACCTATGTAGACAATTACCTTTGAGGTGTTAAACTGCTCACAAAGAACCTCTTGTGTACAATTTCAAACAATTCCGTTGAAAAATGTAACTAAAATCATCAAAATACCGAATATCGGGGGTACCGTTATATGGGGGCTAACGATATCGTGGATCTATATAGATAATTCTCTTCCAAGGGATAAAGTACTCACAATGAACTCCTCGTGTGGAATTTCAGACAATTCCTTTGAAAAATGTGGCTAAAATCATCAATATACCGAATATCGGGGGGTACCGTTATATGAGGGCTATATGATATCGTGGACCTATATAGATAATTCTCTTCCGAGGTATAAAGTACCCACAAGGTACTCCTTGTGTGAATTTTTAGACAATTCCGTTGAAATTAGCCACATTTTTCAACGGAATTGTCTAAAAATTCATCAAAATACCGAATATCGGGGGGTACCGTTATATGGGGGCTATACAATATCGTGGACCTATATAGATAATTCTCTTTCAAGGGATAAAGTACCTACAAGGAACTCCTTGTGTGAATTATTAGACAACTCCGTCGAAAAATGTGGCGAAAATCATCAAATTTCGAAATATCGGGGGGTGCCGTTATATGGGGGCTATACGATATTGTGGACCTATATAGACAATTCTTTTTTAAGGGATAAAGTACCCGCAAGGAACTCCTTGTGTGGAATTTCAGACCATTCTATTAGAAAATGTGGCTAAAATCATCAAAACACCGAATATCGGGGGGTACCGTTATATGGGGGCTATACGATATCGTGGACCGATATAGCCCATCTTCGAACTTGACCTGCCTGCAGACAAAAGAGGGATCTGTGCAAAATTTTAGCTTCCTATCTTAATTCGTTAAGACTGTAGCGTGATTACAACAGACGGACAGACAGACGGACGGACGGACAGGGCTAAATCGTCTTAGAATTTTACGCTGATCATATTCTTGATATACTTTGTTGGGTCTAAAATGATTACTTCGATGAGTTACAAACGGAATGACGAACTTAATATACCCTCCATACTATGTATCGTGTAGGGTATAAAAACAGGCAGTTAACATACCGAATAACTGGAGGTATCGTCATATGGGGGCTATTGAAAAGCTAGACCTAAGTAGCAAGGAAATAGAGACCATTACGAACTCTAAATTTGAAGTTACCGTTGTATATGGACTATACGAAAACGAGGACCGACATGGTTTAATTACGACCTTGATATGCCTACCAACAAAATACAATATTTTTTTACAATTTATCTATTTCAATTCATTTGAAAGGCAAACGGAAATCGAACCCAGTAAAGAAAACACATATGTCGCATATTTAGTAATCAAAGCATGCATATTTAGTAGAGCAACCTGTAACAAATATACGTTATTGTGGTGGTAGTTTTATGTTGTAGAGCATTTCGGAGTTGTAGCTACATCTGAACCGATTTTTACCAAATTTGATGCATATGTTTCTGGGATAAATTCGGTCGAATGTACCATCACATTTTGGCTGATATTACACTTTTGGTGAAAAATGAACTTGGAAGTGGACAAATATATATATGGCAGCAATGTCCAAATCTAAACCGATCCCTAGAGAATTCGGCAACGGTGTTTGTACGATATGTTTGATATCTTGTTGTAGGCTGAATTCGGTCTTGTGTACAAAATCCAACAAATGAATAAATTTGAATAAAAAATTAATAGAATTATGTTCATAACACAATTTTACCGCAGGGCCTTATACCGAGTTGTCAAAGATGCCATATTTCCTTATATTATTATTGGCGCCAAACTAAGGCTGTTTGGAATATATTGATAACAAATAGTGGAAATCACGTGGAAAAGAATGCCATTTAAGAGCATCAATAAAAATAAAAAGTATTGTTAAACCTTGTAAATTGTCTATTGGTTGAATGTTTAGTGTCTTTTAATCTTGTTTTTATTTTTGTCCGTGTGTCATTTGGGGTTAAACTTTCGCTATGCGGTGTTTGGGAAACAATATAAATGTGGTGAAAGGTAATAAAAGGTTCTATCATATGTATGCACCTTTTCAAAAAAAAAAAATCGATTTTCAAGTAGCTGAAGGCTCAACAATTTATTTTTTTTAATTTGCCTAGAAAATCAGCAACAACTCACAAATGTAGTAATATAATGTCAACAATGATCTTTATTGAAAATGCTTGAAATCGGGTAAAATATATATTAGCTATATCTTAATCTGAATCGTGTTCCACTAAATTTGAAGGAGATATGTTTATGCTGTACTGACCTCTCGCATCGTATGAAACATATATATGAGAGCCAAAGCTATAAATGAATTCATTTGTTCCAAATATGCCAGACTTTAATCTTGGCGGACCTAATTAGACTCAAATTGCACATTTAGTATTTAATTTATAAAACATTTAAGGGAATATATGTTAGAGCTATACAAAAATCAGAACCGATTTCGGCCAAATTTGTTAAAAGTTTTTCTAAGCTGTATTACCACGTACCGAAAATAGTTGTTGTAGAGTTCTATATACGACTCTGAGGGCCCAAATCTTAAATCGGATGAAAGTTATATGTGGGAGATACATCTATAATGTGGGAGATACATCTATAAAAAAATTGATAGATGTTGTTTTCATCATAACCAGCACCTATAAATGAACTTTGGAACATGCTATTGGTCCCAAAGTGCATTGAATCGAAATCATTATAATTTCTAAGGTCGGAGTAAATAGAAAGAGCTTTATTTTAAATTCGACCCTGATCAGTGGAATTCTTCGCTTATTTTGATCATGTATCCAAATTGAGAGAATGGACGCCATCTTAACCAATAAGAGATTTCTTGCTGTTGTATTTTGTTTCGATTGGAATTGTGTGGCAATACTAGCTAATTGATTTATTTTATCGCTGTCTTCGCTGCGATTTTTTTTTTAAATTTTGTATTCTCACCACAACCAGATAAGTGTTCTTACAACCTATACTATATATACACACAATATCAATGGAAAAGGAATTTTAATTTTTTAAAATATTTTAAGACCGACTTACAAAACTTAAAATCTATATATATAAATGTAAGTTGTGTTAGTTACTACGCTTATAACTTAAGAACCGCTGGACTAATTTTAAAGATCCACACAAATTCGGAGTTGTCTCCTCTCCGAAAAGGATAATATCCAAAAAAATCGCGTAAAAATGTGATATATTAACATTTTCATTTTGACTTTTCAAATGTACAATAGTAATGTTTTATTTTGCATGATTTTTTTCTATTTTGACTGGCTTTTTTCTAATGTACATTTGTAGTGTTTTTTATTTTTTATTTTTGAATTCGAATATTAAAACCAATTTATTTAATTGACTTGATTTCTTGAGAACTGAAATTGATGGCGGGTTACATGGAAGTGTAATACCGAATTATATGGTGGCGAAACGGAATAGATGATATCGAAATAATTTAACGCGGTCACACCAAAAGAAAGATAATTATTAATTAAAAGATAATTACTTTTTCAAATTCGCTAAAAAATCACGAAAAAGAGATCTCATTGCAAAAATTCTCAAATCGGGAAAAAATCGAAAAGATTTTCAGTGGAATCGAATTTTAAAATAATAGTAAGGGTCTTTAAACATTTGCTGTAATAAATCAGCGAACAAGTTGAAGATTTTTTCAATTTGCTATTCTTCTTTTGTCATTTTTTTTTTAATTTGTATTTGCGAACACATTTAAACAACCAAAAATGACAGAAAAAGCCTAATGGAGCTCATTTCAAAGCGTGGACCTACTTCTTTCATGTGACAATAATCCGTCCAATGAGAGCTCAAAATGCAAAATTCTTTGGAAGTACAATCAGTAAAATACCAAATTTAATGGGTGCAAAATAATAGAGCGAATGGGACTTTTAGTAAGAAAAGGATTTCTATCCTTCCAGGAATTCTTCCCAAACATTCAAGATACCTTAAATCACTTTTGCAGGTCATGATATCGATCGTAACTCACGGATAAGGGTACAACCCGATTTTATATTTATATAACCATCATATGATTTAAGCTATTTTTGGGGTCTTGGCCACTTTTTTCATATTTTGGCCCTTATTTGGCATCTTTGTCTCTAAGGGGTTAGGGAACCATCATACAGATAATTGCCACATAGGAATTTATTTAAGTAAAGTCCCCACATTGGAGTATCCCCAAGTCCACTTTCACATATAATGTGTGGTGAGAAAAGAAAATTTTGTATTCTATTGAATTTGTAACTCTCAAGAGAATATTGGTTGGAAACGTAGATTTGGGAAATACATCTATATGATAATATGGTGGATAAAACTATTTTTACTCATTTAAATCACG